TCTTTGTTTCCACAGAAGCTACCTTTTGTGAAGAGAGTTGCTTAATAAGGGTATCTAATTGTTGCTGCTGTTGTCTCTGTGTCTGCATCAGTTGATCATTCCTTGCCAACAAAGCATCATACCCATCCAACCTGATAATTCCTGTCCTTCTGTCAGCCACTGGAGCATTATCAAATTCTTGAGATGCTAATGACTCAAAGATATCTAAGGCTTCTTGAGGGGTCTTGGTAGTCAATGATCCACCAGCAGTGGCATGCACCAAGGTTCTAGTGTTAGTGGTCATTCCTTGCAGGAAGATTGCTGCTTGTTGCCATGCCTCAATTCCATGCTGTGGACATTTCCTCAACAAAGTCTTGAATCTCTCCCAAGCCTCATAAATAGATTCTGTCTCTTTCTGCTTAAAGCTTGTAATTTCATCCTTCAACTTGGCCCTCTTGGATGCTGAGAAAAACCTTTGCAAGAACTTGGTTTGCAAATCATCCCAAGTTGTTATACTTCCTTGTGGCAATGATTGCAGCCATCTCCTTGCATCATCCGTCAGTGAATGAGTGAATAGTCTCAACAGAATTGCATCTCTTGTGACACCATTTATCTTCACAGTATCACTCAACAATAGGAAGTTCTCTATGTGCAAGTAAGGGTCCTCCGCACTGGTTCCAGCAAACTGATCCTTCTGCACCAAATGTATCAAAGCAGGCTTCAATTCAAAGTTGTTGGGCTCCACTGTTGGGCGCACAACACTCCCAATTGGAGGAATCACTGCAGGAGTCATGTACTCTCCCAGTGTCCTCTGTGGTGGTGGTGGTCTGTGATTCTCTGCTATTATATCTTCCTGATTAACCGTACTTGATTCACCAATTTCTTGCAACTGTCTCTTTTTCCTGGCTGCCCTTTTGTGCTTCCTCAATGTCCTTTCTAATTCTGGATCATATAACAACAAATTTGGATCAAGTGTACCTCGCATGTACCAGAATCAAAATTGAACAGAAATTTAACATAAACTAAAATACTGAAAATAAAAGGATTCAATCTCAGAATTCTATAGTATCAGTTAGTGTTGAAAAACAAATTCCCCGGCAACGGCGCCAAAAACTTGTTGCAGATCTAGCAAGTGCACTAGTCGTACAAGTAATAAAATGATGAGTAAAGATCGTTCCCACGAGGAATTGTGTTCAAACACCAATATACCATAGAAAACTAATTTGAATCAAATAAGAGTTTGTAAAAATCATGAATAATTTGTCACCAAAAAATTGATTTTGAGTAAATTGACACAAGTAAATATGGATTAGGAATTAATAAAAACAACAAGTAGTCAGAAAACAACTTTCCTCCATGATAAACCATATAAGAATTGATCATATGATGAATTCTTTTCCATGTGATGTTAATCAACCTTTTACTTATCATCAAGATGTAATCCCTTACTACCCTAATAGAAACATTAATCAGAAACCCCAATCCCTTGGTGATTTCTTTCTTAATACATGCATGAAATACTAAGGTTTTAAGATTACATCAGAACTCTAGCATCAATCCCTTGAGTACTAGAATTCTGATGTTGAGATTATCAAATACAGAAGTCATATAAACATCCCTGTTCTATACTACTTCATTGATAGAAATAATTAACTCAGAAAATCTCAAATCAGCACATGAAAAATACGTCATCATATTAATCAAATCAACATAATATTATCATGGAGTTCCATTGCATTCAGACTACAAAGACTCTACTCAGACATGACTAAGGAATAAATAAGAGAAGAAGAAGCAAACTTCATTTCCATGTTGAAAGTCTTCAATCTCCAAACTATTACAAGGAAATCCTAATACAAAAAACTAAAAGAATTTAGAGAGAAGTCAGACTAAGTTTAAGAGAGAGAGAGAGTTCAGATCCCCCAAGATCCCCTATAAATGTCAAGGCTTTGCCTTATATAGTGTTACAATTAAAAACAGAAAACTGATGTGGGCGCTAAAACGTCCATAAGTGGCCGTTTTAGCGTCCATGCTTTACGTATGCTCAACTGCTTTTAACTGATTTCAACGCTAAAACGTTAAGGAATGACCGTTTTAGCGTCCAAACTTGGTGAATGCTCAACTAACTTTAACTGACTCCAACGCTAAAACGTTTGATTTGGACGTTTTAGCGGTGAAGACCAGAATCTTTTTCCACTTTAGGGCGCTAAAACGCATATTGCAGGCCGTTTTAGCGTCCAAGACCAGCAATTTTCCATCTTCTTAGTGTAGCAGCGCGCTAAAACGCTCTGTGTGGACGTTTTAGCGCTCATCACCAGCAAGTTTTGGCCTCTTTCTGTAACAGGGCGCTAAAACGCTCAGTGTGGACGTTTTAGCGCTCAACATCAGCAAGTTTTGGCCTCTTCCTGTAACAGGGCGCTAAAACGCTCAGTGTGGACGTTTTAGCGCTCAACACTTAGGCAATTTTTCTCCTCTTGAGCTCCAGAATCTTCTTCCTTCTCCAGTTGTCTTTCAAGCTTGCTTTTCCTATAAGAATCATTCAAATTTCCAATAAAGCTCTTGAACTTGTAATTGAGGACATCTTAGGACATTAACCTTGTTTTTCATCATTTAATCACACAATTTGATCATAATTCCTGCTAAAAACCATGATGAACTAAGGGTTCATCACCCAGGAATATTACTAAAAAGTTATTTGGTAGACAAAAATATTATCAGAATTTTGTCTCAAAAAAAGTGTAAATTTTTTCCAATATATGAGATTTCAAGAATACCACCCCTTTGGTATTCTTGGATAACATTTTGGAAGAAAAATTGTACACAAAACAAAATCCTGAGAAAATCATATTCCTAGAAATTTTTTCAGAAACCTTATACTAAACGTGAGTAAATAAGATCATCACTATTACTTTACCGGGAATCTCAAAAATTTCCCCCTACCAAACACTCCATGGTCCAAATAAAGATTTACAACTAGTTTAATAATATTAATAGGTACATGATCCTTTAGTTTGACACTAAATCTTAATTATTGATTTTCTTCAATCTAACAGTTATAATTTATTGAGAATTAATAATTAATTAATATGTATGACCTAATAAATTATAACTGTTAAAACCATAAAATCAACGGTTAAATTTTGATGTCAAAGAATCCTACCCTATATTAATATTTGCACACCAATTTTCAATAATATTTAATTGAAATGATCATATTTTATTGCATATTTATTAATTTTTTACATTGTCATTTCTTCACCATACTCTCTCTTAGTATTTCTTTCTAATTTTATGGTAGAGAAAAATGTCAACAAATATAGCTAACAATTTATCACTTTGTCTATTTTTTCAAACTATATTTCAATTTGCCTTTTTTTCAAATTATATTTCAACCTGCCAAATGTTTGACTAAATCCTTGTACTAGATAAGTATATAGTCAAGTAAATGACTCATTATTCGAATACGTGTGTCAAATTGGGAAAAAACACATATAATGTTGTAAGAAAAATTGTTATATATGTTATACGAGGAATGTTATACATACAACTTTTTTTTTACAATATCTTTTAATTATATCTTAACTTTGTTAATTTTTGTCAATCCACGATTATTATTTATTGTGAATTAATAATGAATTAACGAGTTTAATTTGCTAAAATAATAACCGTTAATTGACAAAAATCAACAATATTAAAATATAATCGTAAGAGATTCTAAAAAAAAAATTTAAGTATAACGTTGCTAGTGTTATATAGATAATCAATATGTGATCTATCATTTCTAAAATAAAAAAAGAAGAAGAAGATGAATCACAACTATTAATGGTCAGTTGAAAAAGTGAAATTTATGCAGCTGCATGACATACACAATACCTGTTAAAATTTTAACTAAATAAAGGTAAATTGATATATAATTAAATTTATTTTTATTAAATTAGAGGCTTAAGAATGACATAGATTTCCTTACGAAAAATATTTATTTTATTGTTTCATCGAAATACTGTTATTTAAAAAAAAAAAAAAAAAGGTCATGAAACCATCGTAAAGCGAGAGAGGATGAGTGTTGAGAACGGCAAACATTCAGCCTTTCTTTCATTCATCACCCTGTTCCTTCGTTCTCACGTGCGTCATCCCATCACCATCACTATTATCATTCACTCCCAAACTCCCATCATTTTTATTCACAATAAATAAATAAATTAAAATAAATACAATTTAATAATTCTGAATCATTCCCTAATCTATGTGGTTAATAAAATGAGTTTAGCTTTTGTTGTGTTGTAGGATTGTAGGAGAGAAAAAAAATAAAAAGAAGTTAAATGTGGGTCATATATTTTATATTAAAAAAGAAAAAAAAAATTATTTGACACAGAAAATAAATTTGTGTAGAAAAATGAGAGTGTCTCAAGTGACATGATAGTATTATTTCTCTAATAAAATTTAAAGAAATATAAATTCACAAGGACACAACACAAAAAGGCCTAGGAAGATTGTTTTTTTAAAAAAAGCCTAGGAAAACGACAAAACCCAGAAATCCAGTTGTCAGAAATATCTGAAGCAGCAACAGTTCGATTATTACCGGAAATAGCCGGTGTTTCTCGAAACCCTATGTGAATCATGAGCACCTTCCCTTTGGAGTTCGAAGAGAGAGAAACACAATGCGTGAAGAATACACAGTAGATACTGTAAATGGGAGTGAGAGAAAGAGAAATGTTCTTGCTTGTGAGTGAGTGTGTGAGTTTGTGTGCAGTTTCAGTTTCAGTTTCAGATGCGTGTAGTGATCAAAACCCATACCCAAATTTCTCAATAAGTTCACGTTTCTCTGTGACAAACTGCGTCACTTTCTCTGCCATATCATGGTAATAATTATATCATTTCGTTTCACTGTCACCGTCTCCATCACTTCCACTATTCTTCTCTGCACACTCTTTATCTCTTCTTCCTCTTCAAGAGGGTTTCTAAGCAAATAGTAAAGCTTCACTTTTTTTTGTCCTTTTTTGTTTTTCTTTTACTTCTTTTCTATGGCTGATGGTTTTGAACCTTACCATGTCCCACAACAAAGCAGAAGAGAGAAGCTAAGAGTTTTGTCTCAGAATCAAACCGGTTTTGTTGAATCCACCCTTAACTTTCATCACAGTTGTGTAACTTTAACCCCTCTCTACGATCCTTCACTGTTTTCCTCTGATTTGTTATCTTGTGCAAACCAACAAGGTCACGGGTTTCACAGTAACCAGAACAACGTTCCTATTTCTGCTAGCAACGAAGCTTGCAAAGCAAACAAGGGTTGTGCTTTGAAGGAAGAAGGATACAATTTGATGATGGGGTTTTCAGGTGGAGGAGGTGTTGTGAATGGTTCTTCTTCTTCTTCGTCTTCTTCGGTTTCACACCATGCTTACTTGGATCCAGGTGCTGCAATTCAAGTTATTAATAGTAACCCTTTTCTGTACCAGGCTCAAAGCCTTCAGAACCTTCGGGAATTTGATCAGAGTTACAATGATGGTAGTGAGATAATGGTGTTCAAGCCTGAACCATTGTCTTTGTCTTTGTCATCCCATAACAACAATCGTAACCCATTGGAGCTTAATCTTCAGCGATATGGGTCTGTTATTTATGGTGATAAGGTTGGTGGTGGTGGTGGTGGCTGTGTTATTCCGGGTTTGGTTGGAGGAGGTAATGTTTCTGTTTCAAATGAAGTTTCGGTGAATTCAGTTCCTCTTGGACCGTTTACGGGTTATGCTTCAATATTGAAGGGATCGAGGTTCTTGAAGCCTGCACACCAATTGTTGGAAGAGCTTTGTGTTGTTGGGGTTCGTGGAATTTATTCTGAGAAGATTACTTCTGATGCATCATTGATGGAACCTGCTACAGAGAGTTTAAGTGCTAGTGGAATTGTTGTGGATGATCCACTTGGGGATGGGAATGAGGGTGGGAGGAAGAAGTCCAGGCTATTAACCATGCTTGATGAGGTATGTTTTTTTGTTTTTGATCTCTTTTCTGATTTGCTTTATGGTTAATTGAAAATTTTATGAAATGGGTTTTCATGTTTGATGTTCCTTTCATTTTATTTTTTCCATTTTTATTTTCTTGCCATTCTGTTTGGTAAAGTTTATGCAGAAGAAAAAAATGGATTTTTGCCAATATATGGTCACTGCTGGTCTTGCACTCTTATGGATTGCATGTAGGAAGCGTGTGGTTTATGGTTTGTTTATGTGATTATGTTTTTTGTAATTTGTAGCTTTTATGGATGAGCTTTTATATGTATTCTATTTGCATTAAGATTCTTGTATTGCCTGGGATGGATAGATGTTCTCTGTGAACTAGATTATCTTTTTGGAAAAGTTATTGAGAGGGAATATATGCACGAATAATGGGTGGTATTATAACGTGTCTGACAACCATGGAAAGATTTGTTTTTAGCAGGTGACAACATCATCCTTATTGGAGTGGTTAATATGGTTAAAGTTATTGAAGGAATCCATTGGAAAAGATTTATAATCCGCAAAAGTGTGTAATGATATGATCATGGTGTTCAAAGATTAAATAAACTTGCATATATAGATGACAAGGCTTTTTGCCTTTATGTAGGATTGGCTTTTGATTATGATTTTACTTTGAAAAACTATTACAATTTTGGATGCTATAATAGTTGCATGTCATCCAAAGTCATGATAGAATGTAATATGTTTCACTTTATATTTTTGCTGGCAATTACAGTCAATATATTGATTCAGTTAGATGAATTGGTTTTCTCTCCCCATATGGTGGATAATTAGAGAATATATTGATTATGTAAAGTGTTTTTATATGTTCTGATGGCATAATATATTTTTGCTAGGCCATAATAAAGATATTTAAACTTACCATATGACTGATGCTCATGGCTTCTGATGATTATTGAAAGATTAGGATTTAATACATTTTGTAGTGAATATTAAATATTATTTTTACATTAAATATGAATTAACTTATCGGAGTGGACGAAGCAACAGCATAAAATTGTTTTAATATCATGTTATGCAACAAATATGCCTCTTAACTAGCTATCATATCACCTTTAGGCAGATACGTACAATGTGCAAGCTTCTTACATTGGGCTCATTGTGTTATATGTAGGGTATCAGTGTTCTCATGCATTGTGCCTCGATAAGATTGCTTTCTAAGAATAAATATAGCCTTAGAAAGGGTGATGGACATAACAATAGTATCTACATGTGGCATTAGAGCATGTGACCGGTCATATTGATTATAAAATTGATTGTGTACCATTTGGTATTTGTCATGTTAATGTAGGCTTTATGGCTTTTCTTTGGTTGGAACCTAATATTGGTTAAGCCATTTATCAGAGTTCAAATTTTGTTGGATGAAATACACAGTGCGAACTTGTTTTGTAATCACTCAAGTCCATAGCTAATTTATTGAGTTTTATATAAAAAAAATGTCACATATTAGCTGCAAGCATTGAAACCCAATGCAAACCTTTGGGAATTAGGGACAAAAATAAATAAGAGTGGAATGGAACCAATACCCATTTGGCCATGTCAACTCCTCAATGTGTAAGAATAATAAGTTTTACCTCATCTCAACCGTTGATTTATGTGCATCTTACGGTTGTAATTTATTAGGGATTAATAGTTAATTAATGGATATAATTTAATAAATTACAACTGTTAGATGCACAAAAATCAACTATTGACTTGGAGACTCCTTATTCCCCATATATATATATATATATATATATATATATATATATATATATATATATATATTAGTTTTAATCTTGGTAGAAAAATAAGGAAAAGAAAAGATTGAAAGGTGCTTCGAAGTAGGAGGGAAATGGAATAAGAATATCTCCACTTCAAATACTGTATCTTCCTTATAAAATATAAGGAAAATGTTTAATGAACAACTCATGGTCCCTACATTTCTTACACCACAGTTCCTGGACAGGGATTGGTTCCTATGAAGACCCACATAACTGTGGGTCCTTCTAGTTGTGCAATAATTGAAATGTTGTAAATTGTGATGTAAATTAAAGTGATGTTCAGAATTCCTGACTCTAAATTTTAAGGGAGTGGATCCTCTCGTGTGTACATGGTTGTGATCTAATGAAAATATGGGAAGAAGTTAGAAAATTCTACAATGAATTGAAAGTGTTGATAATTTTAGAATAACAAAAGCAGTAAAGAGATTGTGCCTAATAAAGGGTTAATGACTCTCTTTGTTTTAAGTCCTTCAATGTTGGTGAATTAAGTAGTCCATGTTACTAGCCTTTATTTGAATTGGGATTTAGTGATCTTGTCTGTGCTCTATCACATGGGTGGTACGACTAATCATTTCTCTTTGCATATCAATTTAGACTCGTGCAAGAGCATCAAATATGGAATCATTCCATAATTACCTAGAAGTTGAATATTTAATCCTAATTGTGAGAAATCTTCTTTGTTAATCATGAACAGGTTTACAGGAGGTACAGGCATTACTATCAGCAGATTCATGCAGTAGTAACTTCATTTGAGTGTGTTCCTGGCCTCAGTAATGCAGCCCCATATGCAAGTTTTGCTATAAATGTCATGTCCAAACATTTCAGATGCTTGAAGAATGCAATTACTGACCAGCTTCAGTTTATCAATAAGGCTCATTTTCAAATAAGCAACAGGAAAGATGAATCTTCAAGGTTTAACAACAGTGATAGAGGCCCTTACAGCCAAAGACCAGGGTTTCTTGAGCATCAACAACCTGTTTGGCGACCTCAAAGAGGACTACCTGAGCGTGCTGTGAGTGTTCTCAGGGCATGGTTGTTTGAACACTTTCTACACCCGTAAGTGCTATCTTAATTTTATTAATAATATGCAATGTTATTAAACTCAGAATAGTCATTGACTCTGTCAGAGTATGGGGTTAATGGGTCACTGGTTCAATTGGTGGGTTTCTGGTTCAACCGGTTAAATATAAAAATATATAATAAATATAATAATAGGTGCCTTTTAACATCAAAGTCCTGGTAGCATAGTGGTAAGTATTGTTGTATCAAGTATTGCCACCACTTTGATATTCCTGTAAGGACATGCTGGGATTTCCTTTTTTCCTCTTACTCACCTAAACAATACATGTATGTATTATGGTCCCCTTAACCCTTTCATGAGACTAATGTTTTTAGATTACGAAGCTATTGTTTTATTGATACAGTTATCCTACGGATACGGACAAGCTAATGTTGGCTAAACAAACTGGTCTATCGCGCAGCCAGGTAAGCATTTCAAGATTAAAGATTTATCTTCTAAATCATTTCATGTATTGGTTGATGGGTTTGTTTAGTTTATTATTGACTATATCTGTTAACAGGTGTCTAATTGGTTTATTAATGCAAGAGTAAGGCTTTGGAAACCAATGGTGGAAGAAATACATATGCTAGAATCACAGCAAGCTCCGAAAAAATCACAAAGAGAAGAACAAAGTAGGAACACTTTGAGTGATCATTTACCTTTAGATAACACTCTTGTTACTGAGAATCCGTCTACCACCACATATAAGTTTCAGAATGTTCCTTATAAACGTACTAGAAATGAACTTAGTAGTATCCCATTGAGGAGGCAAGAACAACTGAATCAGACCAACACAAGCAATGAGCCAGTGGGTGTTGTTGGAGTGAGCATTGGGAATAGTGCAAGTAATGGTGTCTCTCTGACACTTGGTCTTCATCAAAATCATGGGATTGGGTTATCTGAGCCCTTTACCATGAGTGAAGCTCAGCGTTTTGGTCTTGCCCTTGAACCTGAGGGCTATGTTGCAAGTGGTTTTGAATCACAAAATCGACATTTTGGAAGAGATGTTATTGGAGGGCAACTGTTGCATGACTTTGTAGGCTGAAGATATCTTCAATCTATTAACTTTGCTTGGACTTCATTCAAAATGGTGATATACTAACCATGTTTCTGTTGTTACTTTCATCGAGCCCACAAAAATATAACTCAAGTTATTGTATATTCATTTTAGGGGAAAAATTTATACAGGCCTATCCAATTCACCCTTGTGTTGGACGTGTGTGCGGCGCACACACTTATTTCTTACAATTTCAAAATTATATTGTTTTGGGGTTTGAAATTTTTTTTATACAAGAAAAGGACTATTTTATACCAAATTATAATTGTTGATTTTAGTTTAATACTAGTGTCAAATGATATATATATATATATATATATATATATATATATATATATATATATATATATATATATATGGGTTAGGATCATTTTACACCAGTGTAAGTTACACTTTTAATCTTATACATTGATTTCATTTATATCTAACGACTCAAATTTTTTAGTAATGTGAGCCATTGGATACAAGTGGATCAATGGTCAAAATTGAGTGTAAGACTTCTAACTCTTATACCGGTGTAAGAATATCTCGCTCCTATATATATATATATATATATATATATATATATAGAGGGATATTTTGACTACCAAAAGTGTCCACTACCACCTTACTACCTATCAAATCACCATTGGATCAAAGAGAGAGAATGTTAAAAAGTTTTTGAAGAGAGAGAAAATGTTAATCCAATGGTGATTAGATAGGTAGTAAGGTAGTAGTGGAAATTTTTGGTAGTCAAAATATCTTCCATCATATATATATATATATATATATATATATGAGTTTTATAATTCTCATTCAACATGAGAATTGAAATTTTTTTATACACTCTTCGATTTTCGTGCTGACATGGATTTTACATATAATTTTTTCTAACATATAGATTTCACATGCTTTTTGTCTCTACAATATAAAATTTCAATTCTCATTCAATATGAGAATTATAAAATTATATATATATATATATATATATATATATATATATATATATATATATATATAGAGAGAGAGAGAGAGAGAGGTAGGATCTTTTGACACTTCATCTGAGAGCCGTTAGATAAAAAAAGATCAATGGTGTAACATACTTATAAATCAGAGTCGTTGATCTTTTTTGATCTAACGACTCTCAGATGAGGTGTCAAAGGATTCTATCTCATTTATATATATATAATATGTGTGTCTTTTTGTATTGTTAAATGGTAAACGGACTTCAGTATGTGATAGTTTAAAGGAGCATCAGTTTTATTTTTTTTGGAATACAAGAGCATCAGTTTTAATTATACGGTTTGGATTATATTTTTCTTATTCTTCTAGTTTTTAATAAAAGTAATGTTTATTTTTTAAACGCTGAGTTACTTACATTATACTCTTTAAGAGGAAAATTGAATCACGATTAGTTGGCATTGGTTTTGGTAGCAGAGTGTCCTGAATAAGTAAGGTCTCTGAGGCAAAATAGACGAGTGAGTTTATAGCCCAATAGAAGTGTGAAGTTGATGTCCTAATCCCTTAGTTCGGTTGAAATGCCTCTAATAGAAATGGGTTTGACCAGAACATGCTTTGAAGTTCTGTAATAAACAATAAAGATAAAAGGTATTGGGAATTCAGAACCCTCGTGTCGAGTTTCAACTTTCAACTTTCAACTTTCAACATTTGCTATTGGTTGATGTGATAGATATTATTCCCAGAGTTTTTTTCCATGTAGTTTCTATTTCTATGCACCGAAACGAAAAAGAGAAAGATTTTGCACATGCAGTGTTGGTTTTGTCACCTAGCTAGTTTCATTGGGCCACACAACGAGGTAAACCCAATTATGGGTGTGTATAGGTTGAATTGAACTAAATTTTTTAAAAAACTGAATCGAATTAGTTTAAATGATTTGGTTTAGTTCAAAACGGTTTGGTTCAAAATAATTTGGTTCGATTCGGAAACGGTTCGATTCGGAAACGGTTCGATTCGACTTTATTATGAAAAGAAAAAAAATTAAAAAATCAAAGAAATAAAGTAATAAAAATCGATTCAATTTGGTTCAAAAAGAGTTCGGTTCTTGAACTGATTTTAAAAATCAGTTCGATTCATGAACATATTCTTTAAAATCTGGTTCAGTTTATGAATTGGTTCTTTAAAAACCGATTCGATTCATGAAGCTGTTTTTAAAAATCAATTATCTTAAATGCAGTTTGGTTCGGTTTAATTTTTTGGTTATTTTGCACACCCCTAAACCCAATTGCTTTCTACCTTCGATTATATTTCATTAAAGTAAAAAAAATAGTAATTAAAAGACATTTGATTAATATATTTATTTATTTTTTAATATGATAAAGTATGTGGTTTTTTATACTTTGATAAAAATTAATACACTTTGATTTTTACTTGTTTAAAAAATTTAATAATTAACTATAAAAATTAAAAAATATATTTTTATTTGTGGAATATGGATTTTTAGATTTTGGTTTCAGTGGGGGTAATAATGGGTTTTTGTAACACCCCATGTGAACCCGGCGTATTATACATATATATGGTAATAGCGCAGCTAAATAAATGTGGAAGCTAACTTTTTCTTTTCAATTATGACGTCATTATTATTAACTAAGTTGATTACTTATTTCTTTTTCAAAATATTGCCTGTATGTAAATTGCAATAAAAGCTAACTAAATAACCTCATAATATAAATAAGTGTGTATTTAGTCACAGGACTACAACACGTAGACCGGACAATAATCTTGATACATTATACAACTCAAATGAAGTCAAACATAACTGATGTCAATGTGGCATGGACAACCCCTATGCTCACCAAATAAGGCAACAAAGCCCAACATAGTCTCAGCTCAAATAACAATTGTAACACCCCGTGTATACTCGGTTTGTTATCATGTCATCGTATTAAGCCACGCTTAATTAAAATGTGGAATTAACTTTTTCTTTTCAATTATGACGTCATTATTATTAACCAAGTTGATTACTTAATCACTTTCAAAACTATTGTCTGTATGTAATTGCAAAAAGACAACTATATACACTGAATAACCTCATAATATAAATATGTGAGTATCTAAGTCACGGATCTACAACACGTAGTCAGGACATAATCCTGATACATTAATACAACTCAAAACCAAACATGACATAGTCAATCAATGTGGCATGGACAACCCCCATGCTCACCAAATAAGGCCACAAAGCCCAATAGAGTCCTAACAACAACAACATGATAATAAATATAAAGCAGGTCAACATCCAAGCATAATCCAAGCATGTCATAATAAAACATAAATCTCAACTCTGCTACAGCCTCTTGCCGCCCGAGATCTCAACCCCCGAGTTACGTAAACCTGAAATATGTGCCCCAAACGTGGGGTGAGATCTCTAAACAGAAATCTCAGTAAGATAAGGGGTCCTCAAGGATTTCTCCACCCCAAGCTCACTTACATGTGCAATATAAGTTCAAAAGCAGGAATATAATATAAGTTCCAAAATCAGTGCAATGCAGCAGAATAATCATGTCATGTGTGTCAACTATTCTACTGGCCAGAGAGAAATGCAGGATTTACATACGTCTATTACCTACATTCAGTGCAAGTTACTACTTACACCCACCCATAGAATCACCTTATGGCATGTCTTATACATACACAGGCTTACCGTCTAGGTGGAACAACACATGCATATTATAAGCACTTGCACATAACAGCTCAACAACATTTCAAAATCAATACATGAAAACACATCATGCATATAAACCATCCCCCATGGGGTATGGTGGAACCAACAATGGCTAAACCGAGGACACGAAAGCTTATCTCTAAGCAATCAATCCAATCCAAGGTCCACACTAGCTTAAAGTCCATAAACAGCAGAATCACAATCTATTTTAGACCAGCAATATCATCAATAACCATACTCTACAAGCATATGACATAAAGACAACGCTTTTCTTTTACGTTTCATGTCTTTAGGCTTCTAACAAAGTCATAAGCCCTTAATCACTTAGATTCTGACTTAGAGAATTATTACAGAGGTTCAACTTAACCAATCTAGGGTCCACAAACCCCAAATACAGTTCTGTATGAACAGAACAGTCACTGTCTCGAAATTCCCATAATATCCGAATATTTGTCGGGGACATATCTGGTTATCATATCTGGATATCCATATTCGGATATCACAAGTCCCATATCCGGATATCCATTTTCGGATATTTACAACCCCATGTCCGGATATCAATATTCGGATATCATATCCACATATTTCGCGACAGAATGCAGTTCTGCATTTTCGCGAAAATATCACTCAAAGGTTCAACTTTTAACCCATTACTACGTCCAAACATGTATTTTTATACCCTATTAGGTTCATATTCACGTTAGTTACTTAAACAACTCATTAAACATGCCAAGACTCCACTTTTAACCAATGAAACTCATGATCAAAGGTGGTGAAGCTTACCCAAGCTTAAAACAGAACAAGGAGGTGCTCTTGGAGCTCTCACTTCAGCTCCTATGGTGCTGACTTCAATGTGCACGAAAATGGTACACCAAGAAGGGTCTTTTCTCTTCAAAGATCACTCCTTGAAGCTCAAAATGCCACCACAAGGTGACTCTCAACCCAAACTCAGAACTCAGCCCCAAGACTTCCCCAAAAACAGTGACCAAACTCAGAAACAAGGTCACCAACCCACCCCCAATGCTATCTCTCACTCACACAAAGTGTTTAGGTGAAGATTTCATGAAGGAAATGGCCTCTTGGCTCACACAATGAAGAAGAGAAGGCAATGGAACAGTGTAAGGGAGCTGGTCAGCCACCAAGGTCACGTTGCAACTGATAAATGCATAGGGTTTTGTGCAAAATGAGTATATATAGGCGTTTTAAGTTTAAACACACAGTATTAGCACTAATAGCTACGCTTAACATTTTAATCCCAAACTTAGGATTCTGAACCTATCCATTTTTTTAAAGATTTTTCATATTTTTATTTTATTTTTCGCAGTAC